TGTGGGTGGGTGGTGGTGGCCGTAAGGAACAGGAGAGCGGGTGGCGGATGGGGGCTGCGGGAATGGGGTGGTGGTGGTGGCCGTGGGCAACAGGAGCCGTGGTGGTGGTGGCCATGGTGGAGCTCAGGGTCTCGCCCCGCCGTGACGGTGCTTGTCCCCATAGGGCTGTGGGTCCGCAATGGGACGGGGCTGATCCGCAGGGAGGGCCAGCAGCTCTACTGGACCTTCGTGGCCCCCCAGTTGGGCTACTGGGCGGCGGCAGTGCCCTCTCCTAGCCCAGGTAGGACCCTATGGCTGGGGAGCTGTGGTGTCCCCAGGGGTGGCCGTGCCACATCCCAGCTCGGTGTCCCCGCAGGGCTGGTGGCCGTGGCTGCGGGCATGAAGGACATCACGGCGTACCACACCATCTTCCTGCTCACCATCCTGGGCGCGCTGGCCCTGCTCGTGCTCACCCTGCTCTGCCTCCTCATCTACTACTGCAGGTCAGCGCCGGCCGCCCCACGCTGCCCATGGGGTCCTGCAGCCGGCCGTGGATCACGGTGTGCTTGGCATGGGGGGGTGGCTGACAGCTGGTTCTGGGGCGCACCACCTGCTTGGCACCCGCAGACATCCCATAGCTGGTTATGGGTTCCACACCTCCTGGCGCTCACAGACATCCCATAAGTTGCCACCAGCCCTGCCTGTCCTACAGCTCACTATGGGGCCTCCGACTCGCACTGCCCTCAGGCGCCCTATAGCTGGCCACAGGCACCACCAACCCTGAGCATCCTATGGCTGGCTGTGGGGCCCTACAGTTGGCTATGGGGTCTGCTGACCCCAGCTGTCCTATACCTGGTTATGGGACCACCAGGCCTCGGTGCACCACAGTGGAGTGCGGGGCCACCAAACCTGAATGTCCTATGGTTGGCTATGGGGCCACCACCCTTGGGTGCCCTACAGCTGACTATGGGAACACCACCCCTGGGTGTCTTATAGTTGACTATGGGGTCTTCCAACCCCAGATGTCCTATACCTGGCTATGGGGCCACCACCCCTGGGTGCCCTATAGCTGACTGTCAGGCCACTGACCCTGAGTATCCTGTTTGGCTGCAGGACCACCAGCCATGGGTGCCCTATAGTTGACTGTGGGGTCTTCCAACCTCAAATGTCCTATACCTTGCTATGGGGCCACCACTCCTGGGTGCCCTATAGCATCTATGGGACCACCACCCTTGGGTGCCTTATAGTTGACTTGGGATCTACCAACCCGATGTCCTATAGCTGGCTATGGTGATGCCCTATAGCAGACTATGGGACCATAGGGGGCCGTTATGGGACACACTCCCCACGTTGTCCCCCCGCCGTCCCCACAGGCGCCGCTGCCTGAAGCCACGCCAGCAGCACCGCAAGCTGCCGTTGTCGGGGACGTTGGACCCCTCCAAGCGGGACCAGGCCACGTCCATGTCACAGCTCAACCTCATCTGCAGCAGCCACCTGGAGACGGCGTCCTCGGGGGGGGACACGGAGGCTCACAGCCCCGTCCTCAAATTCGACAGCTCCCGCGAGGACTTCTTCAAGCAGGTCCCCTCCTCCGCGCCCCAAACATCCTCCAACGCCGCGCCGCGCCGCTGCCACCCCCGTGAGGACTTCACCCCCAGCGAGGGTCCCCCCACCGCCTCCCATGGAGCCGAAGTGCCACCGTCCGACCCGCTGCCACCGCCGCCACCGCCGCCACCGCGGCCGCCGTCATTGGGAGCGCCCATGGGGCCAGCGATGGGGCCAGCAATGGGGCCGCCCATGGGGCCGCCGGGGCCGCTGATCCTGTGCGGAGCGCTGGAGGGTCCGCAGGAGGACGTGTACCGCGGCGTGGTGCCCACCCTGCTCATCCCCGCGCGCTACATGCGCCTGGACGGGGCCGCCGAGGGCGCGCAGCAGCTGGAAGCGACCAACCCGGCGGCGGCGGCGAGCGGCTCGAGCCAGGCTGCGGCCCCGGCCCAAGGCGGCGGCGGCGGCCCCGTGGCCATCCCCGTGCTGCTCAACGAGTCCGCGGTGGCGCAGCTCAACGGCGAGCTGCAGGCGCTGGCCGAGCAGAAGCTGGTGGCGCCGCGCGCCTGGTTCGTGTCCCTGGACGGGCGCGCGTCCCACGTCCGCCATTCCTACATCGACCTGCAGGGCGGCGACAGAGGGCCGCCCCGCTCGCGGCCGCCCCCCCCCCGCGGGCCGCCGTCGCCCGAGGACAGCGCGCTGGCCCCGCTGCTGGGGGGGCCGCCCGTGGGGCGCCGCGGGGCCGGGGGCAGCGGGTGCAGCAGCGCCTCCGAGCCCCCCCGGGATTCCCCCAGCAGCCCCGAGGATGAGGCGGGCGACGGGGGAGACGGCGGCGACGACGGCGGGGACCGCAAGAGCCCCTGGCAGAGGAGGGAGGAGCGGCCGCTCATGGTCTTCAACGTCAAGTAAGCGCGCAGCCCCCATCCTCGTCTCCACCCCCAGCCCTGCCCCCACCTCATCGCGTCTCCAGCCCATCTCCGTTCCATCATCTCCATCTCCACCCCGTCTCCTTCATTTCTACCTCCACCTCCATCTCCCCCCATCTCCGTTTCTGTCCCGACTCCCATCCTCGTCTCGCCTCCTGTCCCCATCCCCACCCTTACTCCCATCCCATTCCAGGTCCTGTCCCAGTTCCATCCCAGTCCCCGTCTCCATCTCCTCTGATCCCCATCCTCTTTCCCTCTCCATCTCCATTCTCATGTCCACCCCTCTGCAGCCCCATCTCCATCCATCCCCAACTCCATTCCATCCAGTCCCTGTTTTCATCCCCATCCCAGTCCCTGTTCCCATCTCCATCTTCATCCCCTTTGCTCCTCCATGTTCTCTGCTCCCATCCCCGTGTCCGTATCTCCATCCCATCACAATTTCCATCCACCAGCTCCATTCCCACCCGTTTCAACTCCATCCATCCCCATCCCTTTCCAACCCCCATCCCAATTTCCCCCATCCCCATTTCCACCACAATCTCCATTCTCACCTCCATCCCCATCCCCATTTCCATCCCCATCCCATTCTC